GGATTCCACAGAACCTGGCTGTACACTGAGAAGCTAATTCAGCTATTTGATTTAGATGTGTGGAAGAACAGACATCTAAATGTTGCAGGACACCGTTGATCAGCTGCAGATATCAGCAAAAGTTTTTTACTGAGAAAAGACACAAAAAAAGAAAAACATTTCGTACCTGATAAATTTTATGTTTAAAGCAATCATAACTGCATAACTGTGCTGCTTAAGGTGTCTGTATTAGCGATAGCACACACTGTGTTTAACCCTTTTCCACAATTATGAGTAGGGTTGGGAATTGAAAAGATTTTCACGATTCCGATTCCCTTTTCGATTCTATGAAATGATTCGATTCTTTATCGATTCTTTTTTCGATTCCAATTTGGGGGAAAAAGGAGAACAAACAGTTTGATTATCAGCATCAACTTTGTTTACTTAACTATTGCACAATCTTACAAACTCAACAAGATCAAGATGTCCACAGGAAATGTGAAACTGGAGTAACATCTGTGTTTAAATGAAAAATAAATATACAAGAACAAACTTAATAACCAACAATGTCTAATAACAAATGATGGGATAATAACCTATTTTAAATAACAAAAAATACTAATTATAAAAGAGTAGTAGGGAAAATTAACAGTTATTTTGCAGAAAGATGAGCATATCTGCTTTTTCTGGAAGGATACAGGATCTTTCAGGGCTTATGGTGTCTCCAGCCGTGGAGAACACCCTCTCAGATGGGGTGGAGGAAGCCTGCACACAGAGGTAGTTTTCAGCCAGTCAGATAGCAAGGGCAGCGTATCTTGCTTGTTCCACCACCACAGTGTGGCGCTATCCCTGCAGGGGATGGAGGGCAAGCTTTTATAGAGCTGGATTTCCTGATCTACCCTCTGGGCTAAGGAAAGACGGGGCTTTGATTCACAAAGTGACCGCAGCTCGTTGTCTTCCTCCTCGAATAGTTCTTCCAACTTGCGTAACTTGCGTAACTTACGTAAAAAACGTGACGTAAGTCGTGCTCCCCAGAGCCGGCGCTCTAGGTTCTGGTGCTGCGGGAATCGAAAAAAGAATCGTTCAGTGAGCTGCCAAACGATGCCATGGAATCGGAAAATACGGAACCGGTTCTTAACAGGAACCGGTTTTCGATTCCCATCCCTAATTATGAGCTATTATTTCCCTCATATCAAAAATTGTAATTGCTGGACTAAATGATGTTTGCAAAATAATCTGTTCTTAATGGATGTGATCAAAGCATTTTTTGACGTGTTTATGTCATCCTTGCTGGAGGATAGATGATCTTAGTAATACATTTATCCTTTATGTGTCACAATTAAGATGCTTCTCTAAATCATCATATTTCTGGAAAACTATTTTCCAAGAACTAGTTTGTTTATCTGATGTCATTAAAGAAAAACAGGCTGTAGATGTTTAGAGTAAAATACGTTTGCATGGTAGTGGATTACTCTTTTATTAGGGATGATCCATATTTTGCTTGTGTTTCACACAGGTTTTCTACTATATCTAAACAAATCAATGGATTAGATAATTATATTGTGATTTTTTTTTTAGCTGCTCAGTGACGCAGTGGGTAGCACTGATGCCTTATAGCAAGAAGGTTCCCGGCCCAGGGTATTTCTGCATGGAGTTTGCACGCTCTCCATGTGCATGCACGGGTTCTCTCCGGGTACTCTGGCTTCCTCCCACAGTGCAAAAACATTAAGTTAATTGGCTTATCTAAATTCTCCTTAGGTGTGACGGTGTGAGAATGGTTGTTTGTCCTGTTTGTCTCTGTGTTACCCTGCGATGGACTGATGACCTGTCCAGGGTGTACCGCACTTCTCGCCCATAGACAGCTGGAGATAGGCACCAGCACCCCTCGTGAAATTTAGAGATATGGAACCCCATGGGTAATAATGATTTAGTACAAAGTTTTGCTGTCAAAAAACAAAAAAACATCTGTCCTGCTTTTACTAGTCTGCTGTTCTATAGTTACACATGAGCAAACTGGGAACCATGAAACCAATCATGGAATAAGCTTCTGTATTCAACAACTTATTTGTGGAAAAAAAAAAATACAGTTTTAAGTCCCAATTGGTCTAATGACCCACATGTGTAAACAGTGTGTTCTGTCCTAGTGAGGATTATTAAAATAAGAACCACCGTTCAGTGTCTGTGTCAACATACCTACCAGAGCCAAAGTGTCAGCAGAGAGCTGAAGCAGTGATGCTGATGCTGTGCAATTGTCCAAACTGCTGTATCGATCACAGGACATCTCCTTAATTAGCTGGAGGCTTTGTGAGATATAAGGGCCACTGCTCATGCAGTACTACCCTGTTAGTGGAAGTTAGTAGTAACAGCTTTTATTTAAATAAGTCAATACACATCTGGAAACTGTGGTGGAAGAGAGACAAGACATTCGTGTGTGGAAAGGGGATAATTTGTGGTTTTTTTGTGACCTAATAATTTTGGATGGATGGATGTTTTTCTGAAAACATAAATACGTACATGTCTTGAAAACATAAAAACCTACCAAAATGGAATCATTACATTTCCATATGTATATTGTATAAATGATAAGCTATGCTACTACGATAACAAAAGAATAAACTTTAATATCTTTAGAGAGCATTGTTATTTGAATAAAGTAGAACGAACATCATTTACAGGAGAAATTTTTGCAAAAGAGTAGAAGAGTTTAGTTTTACTGAAAATAACTGAAAAATGAACAAAAAATTTTTAATGTTTACCAGGTTTTTTAGGCCACTACTCATTCTTACTTTAACAAATCAAATATCTGACACAGGCTTTCATGCCTTCTTACACAGAATAGTAAGAGAAAAATCCAAACTGCCTTTTTTTTTTTTCACCAACATTCCAGTTTTATTTCGATTTTCCTTTCCACTATCTGTAATATGTACTCATTTCATTCTAAGATTTTATTGTTTCCATAAACTTTTCAAGTTTGCTTGTCCTGAGCCTATTGTATTGTTGCAGGAATTTCATGTTACTGGTTTGTGGAAAAGTGCTCTTTTTTTTTTTACTTGCATGCATAGATCCTGCACTAGCTGCAACTCTCTCTTCTCCTCTCTGTGTGTCTAAAAACCCACTTTAAGAAATATTTGGGCCACCTAATGGTCTGGAGTGAGAAAGTGCATTTTACTCTTTTTTAAATATAATGTGACCTTAAAGCAGCGCCTCTGCAGTTTAAAATAAGCATTTTGTTAAATTGCAATCATTCTCACTACTGCTTCATACGTGACATAATATATGTTTGTATATGAGAAAATAAGTATAAATTCAATTTTTTTTTTATAATTTCCCTTGTTGTTTTTTTCAGTTTCTGTTGGGTTCATAAATGTAGGTTTGCAAAAAAAGAACTGAAATACACAGTAATGGATTTTTCATACGGCTTCTGCAGAAAGGAGAGACAGTTGAACCCCAGACTCAAACACACTGTCTCCCACCGGACCTCCTCCGCAGAGCGTTTTATTAACAGAACAAGACACATGGTTACAAACAGTGTATTGTTCTGACAGAACAATTGATCAGTTCATAAAGACAGGACGCTCCACTAGAATGACAAGGCAGGATGGTCTTCTGACTGAATCATGAGACAGAAGTGGAGCATCTCATTTCTACAATTTTTCATATGAACACACATTACTTTAATAATCATCATTGAATAAACCTAACAGTTTCCCACATAAAGATAATTTCTAGTGTTAGGAATCAACACATCGTTCGGGAAGCCCTCTGATGTTCAAACTGTTGCGTTATGAGCCTAAAGGATATTGTACTATGGGGCGTATTGTTTAGCTTTAATGCTATGAATTTCAGAGTGCAGTACAAACGGTTTAGGGCTGTTCTTGTTTTTGATCATCAGCTGCAAGATACTCCACTAATTCTTTTTGCAGTGAGTTTAGAAATTTATTTAAAAATTCTTCCTTATGCAATCGTAAAAGTCCGTTTTATACAGCAAATGTTAGTTAGTGTGCTTTATGGTATTTCCTTAATAGAATTTACTGCTTTTGATAGTGTGACAACTTTATCCTGATAGCTGATAAGACTGGCAGTTGCTTGATCTGTATGATCTCTACTGTCATGATGTTCAACGTGATCTACTGCTGACTTCCAGTACAGCTTCACATCGCTCCTCCTGAATCAATATCCTCTTAAAAATCTAATAGGGTTCATGCTCTCTGCATAATGATAGGAAGTAGATGATGCAGGAGTTTTTTCGTTTTTTTCTTTTCATGCATGTGTTTGTAAAACAGCTCCACTCAGTTGCTGCTAATCCCTGTTGTGGTGCTGCGTGCCATGCATGGCTTGGGTGGAAGGGTGAAGTTAATTTATTCATGAGTATTTCTCCGTTTCCGTCGGAGACGTTAAACAGGGGTGCAGCTCCACTGAAGCTGATGTTCTGCTTTTTCCCTCACACCGCCCTGTGCTAGCAGAGGCAAAGTTCAGACTTGTACAGATCTGAGCTCATGACGGGCTCAGGTCTGTCTATACTGTAGGTAATCCGGTCTGATTTACAGTCTGTATATGCACTCATACCAGAAGTGTACCATCAAATGAGCTCTGGGCCTGCAGCCCAGAAGCAGCAGCAGAGCAACGTCATCTGTTGTTCTCCAATAAGAAAGGTGCAGGGCACATCAGCCGGCCAATAATAGTGAGACCTAATGATGCACAAAGCCTCCTTATGTTTACTGCATGTGTCTCACATCTGGAGAAAAGCCTTAAAAAAATTATGCTGAGGGATGTGTTGATTATGAGTCAGCGCTACAATTAAGCTTAACAGACTTCCGATCTCATTGTTTAGAGATGATGTGAAAGGAGTGACAGAAAGCACTCGTGCCAGCCGTTTTGATCCTCCTCCATCTGCAACTCGAGTGCTGGGAGAACACAGAGACTGCAGTGGCTCAGCAGCCAATCAGGGTGCAGTTCTCAGCAGCAAATCAGATGCAGCATGACAAACACAAATGTGTGTACTCAAAGACAAAACACACAGATTGTTTTCAAAAGCTCTTTTACTTAGAGTCAGAATAGACTGATCCAGATGTTTGATGTCTTTAGGAGGAACTCCTCCACTCTAGTTAACCTGGATATAGTTTGTTATTACCACAGATTAAATTCATAAGTTAAAAAAAGGATTTATACTTTTTCTGATTGTTTCTTTATAGTGAAACCTTAATGTTTTCATGTATAGAGATGATCTCATCGCTGCTGAAACACAGGCTCCTGATTTCTGCTGCAGTTCATGCAGTTCTACTGACTGGCCACCAGGGACTGGCAGAGGACCCACATTTTAATGAGCAGAGCTTTCAGGGTCTGAGTTTTTTCCCATACAATCTGATAATAATAATAAAAAAAATACATTTCTGAAATATATTCCAGAAGGTTACACTCATATACACTTACATATGCTATCTGGTTTATCAAAACCAGAGTAATACATTTAAAGTGTCATACTGATAAAAAAAAACTCAAAATCTAGCTTACAATTTAAGTATTATTAGTGTATTAGACTTAAAAAATAAACTTTTACATTTATATTAGATTATTTGCTTGCTACTGGTCTACAAACAGGAATGTAAACCCACTTTTGGAACACATTATGTTTATTTAAACAGAGTGAACTGTTTAATGAAATAATAAACTATAAATGTCTCCATTATTTGAACACTGAAAAAAAACTAGATTTGTTCAAATGTGTTGATAAGTTAAACTACATTCAACTTCACTGTTATTCTACAGAAGCTCTTAAAGGACTTTTCTGTGAGTCTGTCCTGTATTTATAGAGCCACTGGTCTGATCTTCATGATCATGGTTTTCAGAGAGTATTCAAGCCCTTTAAAAGTTTTCCAGTGCACACCAGTTGCTCGAGCCGAAGGACCCCAGGCGTAGATACCGTTTGGATTTGAGGTGTGGCAGTCCCCGTACCAGAATGCACCATAGGCGTGCCGGGCACAGTTTGTGACATGCGAGTCCTGATCTTTGTCAATGGTTGTAAATTTCCTTCCATTGTGATAGCTCAGAGAATCTCCTGATGGAAGAAATGATGAATTAATAAAATATTTTGCAGAGATAAAAAAAAGAGAAAGAAAAGTTAAGATTGAAAATAAAATGTTTGACCTGCTGCCCCTCTAATGAAACTTCCCAAGTTCAGCTTGTATCCATCAGCCTCTGAGCCAACAGAGAAGGCAGAATAAAGAGCAAAAACCTTCTGACCCTCAAAGTCCTCCATATCCACCCTCAGCTCGTAGTTTCTCGTTTGAGTCAGCAGGTGCATCGTTTCAAGGCCTAAGAAATAAACAGCAGACAGAATTCAACCAGTACCTGTCAGGATTCCTGTGCTGTCTGGAAAATAAGAAAACAGAGCTACAGTAAACATATTTACTATAGTTTTGTATATGCTGAGCAATAGTTAATATATTTGCTATTCTTATTTACATACAAGTGATTTGTATACATTAATTTTGCTTTTGCATGATTAGTTTACTCATACCAAGCCAGTACTCTCCAGCAGCATTTCCAAATCCAGATTTGTAGTGATCCCACTTCATAAAGAAGTTGACGGTGCCATCTTGTCTTCTCTGAATCACCTGATTTTAAACAATAAAATAGTATACAATAAAAATGCTAGCTTGTGTGTGTTTTCTAATTGTTCCATAAAATTGTTGCTCCAATTTTATGGAACAATTTACCTTTTCAAATTTAATCTGCCCACAGCCTGGATCATTTTAAATCGCTTCTTAAAACTCATTTTTATTCTTTGACATTTACTTGAAGTGTTTTAATAATCTGTTTTTATTAATTAGTACTATTGTTTGTCCTGTACAGCACTTTGGTGCAGTTTTATACCTGTTTTTAAAGTGCTATATAAATAAATTTGACATTGACATTGACATTCTAATATATTTGGACATTTTCTAACATGACAAACTCACAATAAAAAAGAAGAAATGAAGAAAATCTTTTAAAACTCAATGTAAAATGTATTTTTTAAAAGCGTTATCTTGTGTGAAAAAAAAAAAAACTAACACTACCACAGTTATGTCCAAATTAAATGACTGAAATAACCAGGATCACATGATTAGAAAGGCATTCATCTGCAATGTGGAGAATGTTTTCCCTGTTAAACCCCAGACACTTAGATTGTTTTGCTCCTGACGGTTCAATTTAGATTGAAATAATAATAAAAAAAATCTAAAGTGGAGGACATTCAACAGAAATGCCAGCTTGCCCAAGGCTGACATTCTAAGCTTTTTCTGCCTGAGAGCAGGCCACATGATTTCCGAAGAAATCTCCAAAAAGACTAAATGCCATCAATGAACAGTCCACCATGCTTCTGCTACTGGTGAGTTAAAAGCATGACTGTACATGACAACTGAAATCTTTGCTCTTACAGAAACATAAAAGCTAAACCAAAGATTGTCGCAGACCAGGATTTCTGGAATGATCTTCTTTGGAAAGATGAGTCCAGTTCAGAACTATTTGGTAACTACACAAGCTGAGATGTTTGGTATAAACCAAATAGGGCATCACAGCAAAAACTGCAGCTTTACTGCTGCAGTTTGCAGCGTTTCCAGGGGGAGTGTCGGCATAGAGCTTGGAATCCAGAGGTTCTGAGTTCGAGCCCCACTCTCACAGACTGCCACTCTGGGTCCCTGAGCAAGACCCTTAACCCCACACTGCTCCCGGGGCGCCGCACAGTGGCAGCCCACTGCTCCCCAAGGGGGTGGGTTAAATGCAGAGGGTGAATTTTGTTTCTCTGTACTGTGACAGTGTAATGACAATAAAAAAAGCTGGATATGACTTTTTTTTGTTAGGGGATGTTTTTTTTCTGAAGGAGATATCCAAATATTTAATGTAGGTGCCTGTCATGATTGTATAAGAAAGATGCAGAATATTTTAAAAACAATAAAAACTAAGGATTTAGAGTAATAAAACATTCTCTATTTTATAATGTTATTGTATTTTATGATTGTGTACAGCACTTTGGTCCTGTCCGGTGCATAAAGTGCTTCATAAATAAAGTTGGTATGGTATGGTATTCAATGAAATATGCATTCATGAGCCCCAACTACACAGACAAGGAGAAAAAAGATTAGTCAGTTGTTCCTTTCTTTTGTTTCAAACTAACCGTCCATTTTTCTGCAGAGTCGCCAACATCGTCTCTGCCCATGTCGCAGTAAACCTGAACCGGCGAGGTGGGTCCTGCTGGGTAGATTGTGTAAACTCCATCCAGACCTGAGCCGGATCTGTAGATGTCGCTGCAGTCTTGGGGGCGGGGCAACTGATACGCTACTGCCGTCAACAGCAACACAATCACAACTCTAACCTGCTGGGTAGAAATAAAAGTTTGCCTGTTATCAAATCTTCTGTTGCTGTAAGAAGCAAAAAACACAACACTGAGAATATAAACGCAAACACAACAGGTTTTTTATGAAAATACTGCAGGAAGCTAAAAATACAAACAAAGTTCCGGAAGATAGAACGGATCAAGCTCAGATGTTTGTTAATAAAAAAGCATCAATATATGTAGATTTTTGTTGGTTATGTAAAGTATTTTTCTCTGAACAAAATAATTTAGTGAAGCAAGGTGAAATTTTATTTTATTACAGTAAGTTTGGAAATAAGTTGAAAAAATAAGGCTGAAAAATATATCAAACAATAACATAAAATTGATTAATAAATAAGAATATTGTTGAAATTTGTCTTGCCAGTCAGACTTACAAAATGAATTTATAAAACAAAAATACAGCATCGCAGCTTTAGTGTTTCAACACAACTGTGATGAGTTTGTTTACTGAACATCTCACTCCTCTCAATCCCATTTCCTCTAAGCTTCTTTTTTAAATAATAAGATTATAGGCACTTGATGCATAAAATACTTGAAATCTACCAGTCTTTATAATCTGATTATGTTTAACTTAATCAGATTATTTGTCTGATAATATTCTGGTTTAATTAGACAGATCTATCGTTGAAACAAAAACTTTTTTTATTAGTTAAAAATGCTTTTACAAGTTTTTAATAAGAGCCTATTTTTTGTGTAATAAATGAATATTAACTGTTCAACGGGAAACGAAAACTCAACTCTTACCATCATCCTGTTATCAACTCCTTTTTTACTCAAAAGGCTGCAAAAAAAAGCACAGACCATTTATATTTCTGGTTTCTGAATTTAAATTGAAACTCCAGCTACAGCAATAATTTGCAAACTTACCCTGAAAGCAGTCACACCAGAATCTGTTCGTGGCGTTTGCAGATTCCTTTTTATTACTGCAACTCTGCTTCTTGCAACACTCTGTGTTTTCCTGGGTTTTCCCTTGCAGTGTTTGTTTTTTTTACCGGAGTTTGAAATATTGGTGTCACATGCACAGAGGCTGTAACTGTGTTTTTTTTTTTAGATTGGGGCATCCTTCAAATAATCCTAACTATTTTACCTTGTCACATAGGTTTAAGTTGGGATTCTGGTTTGAGTCTCTGCAAGAACGCTATGAGCTCTAGAACAAGGGATTCAAATGGTAGATCTTTTTAAACCTATATTTGCCTAGAACAGAAAGACGCATAAACGTACACAAACGCAAATATGATTTTCTGGTCAAAGTCCTTACTGCATGCCATGGTCAGGTCACCACAAAAAAGGCTTAAATTAGAAGGCAACCGGACTTTCGTACAGATTTTGGACAGAGAGGGCAGACGGTTTGAAAGAGGGGTGAAGGAAGCCATCTTTGTTAGAAGAGGAAAAAGCTCACTAAACAGAGTTGTAGGACTTTGGCTTCAGCTTCCACGCATTTACAATTCAGTCATGCAGCTTATTACAAATAAACTATATAAGCACTCTCTTAATGATTGAAAAGGCCAATCACGTAACACATGCATAACAAAAAAACTCCAACAATCCAGAACAAGGAGTGCGTCTTTGATTTGCATCTGACTAGGAGTGTTCTTAGGATGATAGTCCTCCATGCTGCTTAAATACAATGAAAAAGACTCCTGGATAAAGTAGATATTGAGATTTCTTATAAAACTGAGCAAAAGTCAAGTTGCCTTCTAATTTAAGCCTGTTTTGTTGTTGCCATAACCAGAGTAACTAAGAATTTTTTTTAAATTTAACTTTATTGACCTCACAATGGAGGAATTAACTCTCTGCATTTAACTCATCCACTTGGGGAGCAGTGGGCTGCCACTGTGCAGCACCTGAGGAGCAGTGTGGGGTTAATGGTCTTGCTCAGAGACCCACAATGTGGGGATTAAATCGTGTACTTGCAGCCTTCTCAGAACACAAGCCCAGTGGTCTATCCACTAGACCAACAATCCCCAGTCATGGTTAGGGTCATCAATACATCTCCATTTTTATCATTTTAGGGTTAGGGCCCATTTTATGACTTACTGTACTGTAAGGGAGGAAAACTAAATAGAGGAATAAACAAGGTTTCTAAAGGTTTGAGTTTTGTTAAAAGGCCTTTACTGACTTGTGCAAAGTGTAGATATTTTTAGATTAATGAAGCATCAAGAGTTCTCTGTTAAATACTAAGAGTTGGTGTTATTGTTTTTTTAACTCACCCTAATTTGATTTCAACAAGGTTATTGTTGACATGTCATGCAGTTAGGGATGCACGATATAATCGGCCCCCTGTCGGTATCGGCCTTAAAACTGAATATCGGACATCGGCCGCCCCACCGATATTTAACCCGATATTTGATCAGCTTCTGAGTTTCTGAAGTCTAAAAAAAAAAAATAAAAATACTACTTCTTCTTCTTCCTCAAAAACTTATTTTTTACAGACTTAAAAACTTCTAAAGACGAGGGAAAAAATATTGATACATTAAAATATCACAATATCTTCATATGCTGATATATTGCCATTTAAAAACACCATATCAATCTCTTTTACTAATGAAATTTGCTATATGTCATCGTTATGCTACGAAAGCCCCCGAAAATTCACGAAATGTTGCCATATTTTTATATGTTGATATATTGACGCGGTATCGATCTATTTTACTAACAAAATCTCAAAAGAATTTACAAAATATTACAAGAGTTTGTAACAGAACGATGAAATTTCACGAGATTTTGAAAGTAAAATAGATCGATACCGCGTTTTTAAAAATCAATTTGATATCAGCATATGAAAATATATTTGAGTATATTATTTTTCAAAGTGTCAGAAATGGATAACAAAACTGCTATTTTCAATGACTACTTATTTTTGTCCAGCTTTAACATCGGTATCGATATCGGTTATCGGCTACGTGAGTTTTAAAATATCGGCATATCTGATATCGGCCAAAATCCCAATATTGTGCATCCCTACATGCAGTGTTTCTTGGTTTTTATGATGCTGATTATTGGTTCATGTTCTGTAGAAAAGATTTTATTTACAAAACATATTGAAAGAATATTTTATTTGACAAATATGCTCTACTTCCTGTTACAATAAAATCTCACCAAAGTTGATTATAGTTTAATTTTAGCAAAATGTTAAAAGTAAAACTTGTGAATTGCATAAACTTCCTATTTGATTAGTTTTCAGTATTTGGCAGCAGGTTGTTTGTCTGCATCCTGGTACACAGAGCAGCATATTGTCTTCAGAGTGCTTGTTGCTCCACTTTGACGTTGGAGCTTTTCTTCCTTGTTCTGGACTTTCTCACTCATAGCCAAGTATTTTTAGCTGTGACAAAATACCCCTATCACCCTCTCTTCCTCTCTCCCTCCCTCTCTCTCTCTGTCAGGACCTCCCCTCTCTCCCTCTCTTGTCTTGCCCCCATCCCTCTCTCCCTGGGCTTCCAGGCCAGGGCTAGCTGCCACAGTCATTGAGTGCTCAGGTTTCACGTTTTGAGCTGCAGGCTGACAAACATGGCAGTGGAGGAAGCAGCAGAATACTTGGCAGAAGTAAGTCCTTGTACTTTAAAGAAAAGTCATTGATGGTTATCATTGCTTTGTGTCCTGCTGCTTTGCTGTGATGCAAACATGCGTGCAGGGTCAACAGTGTAAGGGGTTGGATTCAGTGATGTTGTGAAGTTGACTGACTGGTTGATGTTACAGGCTGAGTTGATGGGACAGGTTGCAGTTCTAACTTTACTGCACCACTGCTGCAGTGCGTGGCTGCGTGCATGTGGACGTGTGCGTGTGGGAGTGTATCCCTGTAACCTCTCACTGTGATTATACATTTTTAACTGGCTGCTGTCATTGTGCTAAAGAGTCTGTAAAACACAGAGTTCTGCAGGTACTGTTTCATGTTGAATGCCGATACAGATGGAGGCATCTGACCTTGGACAATGAAAGAAACTAGTGTGTTTTTAGGAATGGAGGAGAGAAATCTAATAAAGGAGAAGTGGAATACATTTAGAAGACAAGGTGGATGTTGTTTGATTGCTGCATTAGCCAAAGGACAAAAGCCAGAAAGAGTCACAGTGATATGTGATATGCACTATGCAGTGTATGGCTTCTTAAAGGCATAGCTCAGTTTTTTTCCCTCTGAGCTGAGGTTATGTGGGTTGGTTAGTTATTACTGTGTCTAATAAGACCCAAAGGAATTATCATGGAGTTCACAGCTGCTAAATAATTGGACTTATTATGCTGGGAAATAAATAAATAAAACACCAGCATATATAGAGTTGAGGTCACGGTTCAGCATGGATGCTCTACGGTTTGATGCACGTCATCTAGACATTGAACTTGAGTTTTTTCTTGGTCAGTTTTCCTCAAGGATCGGCATGTATTGTGCTCCATCCGTTTCCCAGCAACCCTGACCGGCCTCTCTGTCCCAGAACAGGAAAATTATCCTATTTCACTACCATTACTGATCAGGGTTATTGGCATTTTTTACTGCTACATTTTTCTTGCAGTCCAATATGGGGTGCTGTTTATAAAGTTAAGCAGCCAAAAATTAGGAACAATATTCAAGTGAATTTAGTGTGTGTAAGGAGGAATAATAAGGAGGTTATGTTTTCCAAGTCATTTTTTCACCATGTCATTCATTCATTTATAAAAATCAAAACTTCCAATCTAAATATTTAGTTTGCAAATGTAATATTTAGTTTGTTAAATAATTACTTAGCTCCAAGCTAAATATTTATTTAACAAACCAAATATTTGATTTGCAAATTAAATATTTAGCTAGTACCAAGCTAGCTAAATATTTATTTTGGTACTAAATATTTATGTAACAAACTAAATAACTCCAAACTTAACATGTATTTCACATTCAAACTAACTATCAAACAAGTATTTGGTTTAGAAAATAAAAATGTATTTAATATAATTAAAATTTAGTTTAGGAAATACATATTTAGTGTGCTGACAAATTTTTTAACTGACAATCTAAATATTTAGTTTGGAACTTTGACTCTTTTTTTTTTAATAAATGAATGAATGAAAAAGTAAAAAAATGACTTTAAAAAATAAACCCCTCATTTTTCTCTTAAAACATACTATAGGCTATAACCTTAAATTTTGCTAAATTTTGACAGATTAACTTTAAAAACAGCACCCATAGGCCAAAAGTCTTTTCTTTATTAATCTGATAAAAGCACACCGTTCCTTAAATGTTCTTATTATTTATGTTTTCATATTTAGTTTGTGTAAAACTGTAAAGGCTGTTCCTGTGATTCCCTTCATGGTTGATAATTGTCCTCCAGGTTACAGTTAGAAATGCTCCGTCATTTAGGTTAGGGTGATAGCTTCTTTATTTCTTTTATTTGTCATGATTGCTACTTTAAACTACTTCTGACCTGTAAGCTGTATTTGGTCTTCATGAGACTGTTGTCTTTTTGTATGCATACAACACCTTTTAGTTTTTCATTACAAATTAACCAAAAAAAAAAACTAAATCACTTTTAGAACTCCTGTTTATAAAATTTCTTTACATATTTAATAATAATTTCATCTCTGAAATAAACCAGTTGTGCTGAATTTTACTTTTTGCACCAGAGTAAAGCGACTAAATACAAGTACATGACAGACATTCAGATATTTCGTGGCATACTGTAAAAAACTGAAAACAATGTTTCATCATGTGTGGTGGTCTGTCATGTAGAATAACAGTGATTTGAGTTAAAGCTTGTTGTGAAAAATGTGAAAAATTTCAAATGATACTGATCTTTTCACCAAGATTCTGAAGAACCTCTGGTCTTGTTTTGAAGAACTGCACAGCATTATTCCCTTATTTCCAGTCATCCGCTGTAATGAAAGCCTATAACTAACATCTGTTTACTTGATGTAACGTCAGCTGCTGTCAGCTGTTTAGTACAAAGTAGTGCCAGCTGACGATGGTCAATATGTACATTAGATACTTTGGACATGATTTGGGATTTACATTCTTTTTCCAAGACACGAACAACTTAAGCTTCCTTCAAGCTTATCCCTGCTGGGGTCAAGAGGGGTGCTGTTGCCTATCTACAGCTGTCAATGGGTGAGAGGCGGGGTCCACCCTGGACAGGTCGCCGGTCCATCGCATTGCGCGATCTTTT